CTCGTTTTGTAAGAGCGAAAAAGTGACCTAATGAAACGCTTGATTCATATGTACAGTGGAAAATGGTATAACGTTGACTAACGGTTACCAGCGAAGTTGCTGTCTGGTGAAACCCACTGCGGGGAAACGTGGAGTAATTTGGTAAAGAGAATCCTTCTGAGCAAATCGTTTTTTTACGTTATGCTTGTAGTACTGTTGTGTTTATGGTTTCCACGTCAATTATTTATACGTTCTGACTACTGGACGATTGGTGTATTCGGTCACCTCTGTGCTTTTTGTTGTTTTTGGTATTTTCATTTTGTTTGTGTACTGTTTCTGCAAGGATTTGTATTTAGTTTCAGAAATTGTGGTCTGTTTTCTCCTTCATGACGTTTTTTTTGCTCCCAATTATTCTTCGTTTTACAACACAAAGCATATTGCTTATGAAAATTTCAGAATAACAAAAATAAACTTAAAATTTTGAGACTGATATTATAGGAATCACCGTAGACTGTAATTGAAAGTTTATTTATTACTTCTGCATCCCAAGATCACTATTTACAAAACTGCTCTGTTTTTAGCTCGTCTATTTTTTTTTCTTGAATGCTGATAACAAGTAGTTTCTATCAAAGTAATGACTTGAGATTATGAAAACAGGAAGTAGTTATTCGGCGGCAGGTGGAGCATGAAGACGAAGTTTAGATGAAAAAATTTGCTTTCAGTTTTTGGCACCTACTAAATGCTTGTTGCATTTAAGGTCTTAGCTTTGATTTTCTTATGAACGGAATTTCCAAATGTTATCGTCGTTCGTTAAAGCGGACTTCACCGTTGTTTTTTCTTCTAGAATAAATGGCCGACCGGCCATCTCGCGGTGGACGATCATCCAGAGAATACTTTAATGTGCCTTTAAATTCGGAATCGGTTTGTTTCTTTTTTTTCCAGTCAGAAATCCTTGTTTGATTTGCCGTTAATATTTTCTGTCAAAGGGTTTTTTCATGATTTAACATTTGTTTAAAATCAGATCAAAGATGGTCGTCGGAGCAAAAGAATTTTGCATCACCCTCGAACTGAAGACGACCGTAAAGGGTCATCGGGGATTATGACCATTATGCCAAGACCGACCATTATTCTCGCAAAACCTAAGGGTTTTTATTTTAATAATAGATAGTGGCAAAATTTTTCATTTTAATAACAAGTATTGTTGTGATTAGAAGCATCGTTGAATTTAGAGGCAAAGTTGATTCTTTATTTTAAATAAAATTATTATTTTTTGGAAGACTTGGACTTTCTAATGCATTAAGACCGGTTTCAGACAATGCTGTAACAGAAGTAAACGACAAACCCGGTAACGAATCAAAAGAATCTGAAGAGAAAAGAATAGTCGCTTCTTCTACGTCTCTAAGGGTGTGACTTAATTCTGTGATTTTACCTGTATTTCATTTTGGTGGTTGGATTCATCAGTCTCTAAAATTTTCATTTTGTGTTGTTTTGTTATTTTTGCTGCATTTTCTCTAAAATGGAAATTTCTGCAGGAGGTTGGTGGGTATTCGAATGTTAACGTACCGGCGAATGTGAAGGCGGTTGTTTCGATCCTTTCTTCCACAGGAGCAGAAAAACAACGTACTTTTTGGTTTACCCGCTGGGTTTTTTTATTGTATTTTATTAGAAATGAAGTTGGCTATGCCTACTTGTAATTCGCAATTTTCTCAATTTGTTAAGAAGTCAGCATCAGTATGGATTTGTAAAATTAGTTTAACTTTTTGAAGCTCACAGAAATTATTTTTAGTTTCGAGTTTTTGAGGTTTCAGTTCTTAGAACACTAGTGGTATGTCATATTTAATTCTTGCATTTACTTACGTTTCTTTGCTTTTTTTTTTTCAAGGAATGTTATTCATCCTGTTTAGAGTCGCTACGTTCTTTAACTACAACTCCTCCTGTTTCTGAAGTTAACGTTCAAATGAAAGCAGCGATCCGACTGATTGGAGATAACCTTGAATTCACTGAATATGTTCAGGTAACTATTAATTTGTTTGCTCAGTTAATTCTACTTCATTCTCTTTTGCCAAATTCTAATTCTAATTTTATTATGAATTTCATCCAACATTGTGTTTATACCGTCCTAATCGCTGTTTCCGACGTTTTGCTGTATTTTATTCTATGGAGCCAAATAAAAGTTCCTTGAGACATTAGTTTAAAATATACTTGGTTTACTGTGTATTGTTTTGAAGTTATCATCGAATCGCACTTCATTTATACTTTGTATTTCAATTACTCGTTAATGAAATCCACGCTAAGATGCTTGTCCTTAAATGGTTATTCTTCTTTGTTACAGTGTAACGAATGTTACCGTTTCGATTTATTTCTCCTTATTAGGCTTTTGTCAAAGCTGTGTCGGCTAATTTAGTAGAAGCCAATTTACGTTTCTACTTCTGGCTTTCTAGTTTTGAAATGTTCCTTTTGAAGGAGAGATTAGATGGGAAACTGAAAACAGTAGAAATTGTTCTTTTTTTATGCAGATTTTTTCCACTTTAGCTTCTATTTTTAGGAATATCTCTCAGAAACAAATACCAATTTTTGTGTGATTGCTGCTATTGGGCTTCAAGGTACCGGAAAATCCACATTATTGAGTATGCTTGCTGGTAATGACCATCAAGACATGTACAGGTGGGGGATACTTTGCATAAGCATGTGGTTTTAATTAACTATAACTGACAATTTCCCGATCAGTTAGTTAGGGAGTGGTTACAGAACAGATAATTTTCCGGTTTTATGTTGCTCTTTCTAATTATGCGTTGCGTATTTTCGTAAAAAAGGTTATTTTTAATAAAATTTCTCTCAAGTTTTCACTTTTCATTTGCTTAGGAAACGTTGTTTACAGAAAAACGGTTTGCTTTATAGACAGTATGCATTTCGACCTGCATCTCGAGAAGCGGTTGAGTCTTGTCGATTTCAGACTTCTAAGATCAGCATTTATGTTACGAAAAACCGGTCAATATTGTTGGATTGCCAAGTATGAGCTTTTTATAAGCTGCTGTTTTTGGGGCGAATAAATGTTTGATTCATAATACGTTTTGAATTATCATAAAAAACATCATATTCAAAATATGAAGCAAAAGACCCATCTTTGTTATTACCTTATCGTATTTTTCGCAAACGGTTTACTATAGGCTATGTTGTCGGCGTCAATAGTGGATGAATTACTTCAGAGCGGGAGGCGTGGGACAATCTCAAAGCTAGCTGACCTATGTGACGGAAACTTAGAATTGCAAACCGAAATAGAGGTTTATAAGTTGTGTTTCACGGCGTTCAAAATTCTTGGTTTATTTGATTATTGATATTGCATCATTTTTGGTAATTGTTTACTGGTTGTTCTCTGTAGTGTGCTCTGTTTTAGTCAATTCAACTAGTTTCCTTCTTGATGCAAATTTGCCATACGATACTCCTGTGTGTTGATTGGTTTATTGATATCGATGTTATTCGTCACATACGTACTTCTGAAATGCTTCGGTCAACATCACTTCCTTTTACTGCAGTTTCTGATGCTGCTCGGTTCAAACCAAACCGTACAGTCAACCTAGGTACCTTATTTTTATTTTGAAGCTTTTATTACTTTGTGCTATTTCTTTTTTAGATTGGAACGTAGATTTTGTTGTTATAGTTGTCGTTCACCAAAGGGCTAAATCTGAGGATTTTTATCCCGATGTTCTTAACAGGAGGAGCCAGATTCTGAGGCAGCTTTTTGCGGATTCCAAGTTGGATGTTAATGGCAGTGTATCATTAGGTGGGATGCGAAGATTTGGGTTTATTTATCCATGTAGTACCGTCAATTACATTCCGTTAGCAGAAATGAAACCAAGGCCTAAATCAGATGTTCAGTCAAATCTCGGTAGATTTTCAAGATAAATGTTATAATAATTCACGTCCTTTTATTCTGAGCGAAATACAATTTTTTTTTTGCAATTTGTAATAACATGAACATCAAGAAATTAAAATATAGTGAAATACAGCAGTAAGGCTTAGCAATGAATTTTTATAAGCACTTTTACAGCTAAGGATAGCTTTGAATTGCATGATCCAATAGTTGACTACGGAGCTGTGATACGTGAGTTGAGAATAAAGCTCCCTTCACTGTATCGTGATCAATTTGTTACTGGCGACCAGCTACTCTCTGAAAAGCAGTGGTAGTTTTTTTTTAAAGTCTTGGGACTGCTTTACCTTCTGTTGAGGATTAAGCTTTTACACTTCTTTCAAAGATCATCTCACTTTCTGTTACATGTCTTTAGAGATCTAGTTGCTTTCAGTAGAGTTTTTACTGCTTTCTTTTGGACCGTGATTGAAACCAATAAAATTTAAGGTACCTCCACGCTATGAGGATCTTACGAAGTACGCTCGGGGATGCAGATATTATACAATTTGCGACTTTGTTAAGCACTTCGTGCCGATAACTGATTACTCGGGAACTTTATAAGTTTTATTTTCCCAACGAATAGAGGACCATTTTTTAAAAATCCGGCAGATGAATTGTTGGTGAGTGCTGGTCTTTGCCAAAGTACCAACCAGTTGCTGAATATTCGCAGAATTTTTAAAGACCGTTCCTGTTCTCTTCGGATTGAGGCTCAAAGATGACTTATAATCATCTTCGCTGAAAAATGGTGATTGAGTAGGAGGACTTCCGAGTGACAAACTTTTCAGTTATATATATTTATGCAATTAAAGTTATCGTAAGTTCTAGTTAGGATCGGTATAATTTATTCTTTTTTTAGCTGTTAAGATTGTAAGAGATATTTTCTACTAGTTCTGCTTTTGATTGGTCTTGAATATTTATAATTCAGGAAATATTGATTTTTTGTATAGGTTTCACTGGTTTTTCTCCATATACAAAAAAAGGTGCACGTCATTCACGTCATTTGCCAGTGATACTAAAAATTGATAATAGTAATTATTTTCTATTTGCGCTGAAATAAAACAGTTTTTTGAGATGTTAGTGTAGTGCTATACTTTGACAGTACTGGGTGGCGTGTTCAGTCTAATTTTTGTTCTATGCAGTTTTGTCCTTTCTGGGCCCTGTATCATTTTAAAAGTGCGATGAGTCATGGTTAGTGACGGTTCATGACGATCTGCCATCGTGGGTGCAGAGCCGAATGCGGAATCCAACATATAGATGAACGACAAATATTGCGCTTCTTATTTAGATTCATGTACCACATCCGACTTGAGTTGTACAACGGGAAACACTCAAGAAGTTTATTGTAACCAGTCGTTGTTTCTTCAGCCTTTTTCTGCACTTTTTTTCCCTCATAATAATTCCAGTCTTACTTCTTATTTCGGAGCTCTCAGTTTGGTGGCTTCATTTTTTTAAGCTAGTAAAGCCAATGAGCAATAATAGGAATAAATTTAGCTCTACTTCATTACAACTAATAAAACCGATGGAGCAACTGGACCGAAGCAGAACCTTGTCTTTTGACTGTCAGGTGGTGGTGGGAAGTATCATAGGGGTAACTCTGTTCTTCATTGTGCATAGCTATTGTTTTTGGGAGTGGGCTGCAGTGTAAATAAAACTTTGTTTTAACGGTAT